AAACTTAGTTTTAGAAGTTTATTTTTAATAGTTGCTCAAAAAGTTCTTCTTTTAGTTGTGTCACAACTTTAAGTTTCTCTAGATTGAGTCTACATTATTTTCTATTCATTTGTCATCATCATTTATGTAAGGTTTATCAGCGGCGCTGTTGTTCGATTTCTGTAAAATGGGTGGCCCTTTAGTCTGTTGCTATGATACCCGCGGAAAGAATTAGTGACAAATCTATTCTACTTTTCCATCACCACCAACATTCCCTTTCCAGCTGCCATTGTACTTGGGTCTGAGGACAAGGGTAGCTTGCTGCCCGATCAGAACCAGACCCGTGCGTACGCCGCGTCACGATCCGCGCGCTTCTCAAGGAGTCATCACACCACCACAGATTCCCATCTGTGTTCCCACAGATCCCAGTAGGGCTGCTGCCCGATACCGAACCGCGGAAGGCCTAACGGGTTGCTGGGGTTCCGAATCGAATAGCAAGAGTATGAACGGGGTGATTTTAGTCACTCCCTCTCGCTAACCTAAGGCGGGAGAAGTCGTTGGATGATTTTCCTCCCTCAAAAAGCTACTATTGTACAAATGAATTGGAGAAAATCCAATAGTTGAGTAACAAAATAAAACTACAGTTTTACCATAGAATACGGAAGTAAAAAGTAGCAATTAGATACAGAAGTTACAATCTATAAAAAGACAATGATTAGTGAAAGTGTTTGGAGGTGAACTCCATGGGGCAGCCCCATGAATACTGCACGGTATGACAACTGTTAAATCCGAATGAATGGTAAATCGATCTTTATATAAAATATACGGATTGTGTAATCGGAATTCATGAATGATTTTGTATCGATTGCATCGGTTAAGTGACCACAAGCGTGATTGTGTTAGGCGACTCAGGCGAAGTATTATTGAGTATTATTGAGTATTTTCGATCGAGTAATTTCATTAAAAAAATCTTTACAATTAATTGTCATTGTGTCTTAATAGAGATATCAAATAGGTACTAGGTGATGAAAACAATGATCATACTACGAAATATTTCTTGTTATTAAATTGATCACCTGTTTAATCGTTGCACATACTGGTTGCAAATGGAGTATTAAATAGGTATTAGTATAGTGTGGACTTAATATTTCGTCCATGACAATGTACATGTTATTACATTGTTGACTTGTCTACTGACTTTTTGCCCTTGCCGTTAGGTAGACGGGACCGGTCTTGTTTTATGATGATGACTTATGTACTACTTTCATATAGGGACATATGTGTATTTACGTAGATATAGAAGTTTCTAGAAACAGTTTCCAAGCATGCACAATCAGGAAATAATTGCTCAACAATAAAAGTTAAATACATCTATTTAAATTAAACTCAAGTTATTTTCACTCCAATGCCACAGGGTCAAAAGGTGCCATTGTCAATTTTTTCATGAACTTTTTACTAACAACGCACACAATGTAAGCATTCAATTATATTGCGTTCTGATGTAAGGGCAGGTATTCAACAATTGGGTGGATTGGTGGATATTCTAGTTTCCCGATCACATTAAAACTATTTTCTTCAATTAAGAAGGTCGGTCGGTTGGAACCAACAATATTCAATTTTAAATACTTAATCGTTGTGATTAGAAACGGATAAGGGTATCTAACACCTGTTTGTCTAGAAAGAGCGCAAATGGTTGTGGCCACGTGCGCGAGAGTGTTAAATGTTCATAAGGGCAGGCGCATCGTTCGAGGCCGACCAAAATAAATTAAACAGCAACTGTATCTCAATTATTTGTAAAGAGTTGCAACGGATATCTAGTGTCGTAATATTTTACAGTGTTCAAGAGCTGGCCCGCAACCGACACCACAAGATTCAGTTAATAATTTGCGTGTAGTGCTTCACAGTGTTCTATTCAGTTTATTTATTTTTTATAATATTATAATGGGTTTTAGTACGACATATTGTGAGAAATGGGCAAATAGAAACGCTGCTTTGTACAGGGAACATATTCGAAATGAAACCAAATCTTACTCAGGTAATGTACCTACTAATTGAAAACCTTTTTAAATATCTTACATGCGTAGTCGTAAATGTGTTAATCAATATCATCTTAATTCTTAGAATTGTAGAGGTAGATGCGCGTAATTAAATTGACCGTAACCTCAAGCGAAACACAAAAAATCTAAGAATATACGATAATCCTTATGTGAAATTGGACCTCTCTTTTTGTAAAACTAACATGGCTATCAAATTAAGTAATGTATAATTCACGTAAGACAATAAATTGACACATTATACGCCATGGGATCACCGGTGTCCGACGTTTTCTAATGACAGTCAAAACCTTAAAGATAACGCCATCTTACGCTGAGTACACCCAAAGTAATCATTATAATTTCAGTAAAGTATACCAATGTGTGTATTTAATACAAAATATTCTATATTAACGAACTGATTACACAGTTATTTGCTCTATGCGGCCATCGACCCCGTAGGTACCCACTATCCATAGCGCAGCTGATTGCTCAGTCACTACGCTAAGCATTAAGCTTGAATCAATATTAATAGTGTGTCACATCAATCACATTATCCTCAATACTCTTTGTTTCAATTTATTTCCAACTAACCTTTGAACGTTATTTGATGACAATATTAATCTTATGTACATATGTGAACTATGCAATGTTCTTAACCAATCAACCCGCGTAACCTCGGTACAGGATAATTCAATAACATTCTCAATGACACTAATAATTTAGATGAAGTAATTACTAGGTTATTGTATAAGGATGTTTCACACAATCCTATTGATGATCAAGGATTTTAATCAAACTGTAGCGGGTATAAATATCAGGAATATAACGCACTTAGTTTAGATGTACGTTATCAGTTTTGCGTGCCATGCAAGCTCTAATTTATTCAAAGAAAGGCCAAGTAGTTTTCCGTTGTTGAAGAATAGTGCATCTACTTTTCACCATAGAGGTTTTCCTTACATTATTGTACTTATTTTCAGCCTGAGCTGCTCTCCGTTGTCTCATTTCCAAGTTGAGTTTCATCGCTCTCGGTTCAAATTAGTGTGTTAAGTTTATGTTAGTGCAATCATTTTCATAACCAGTGTAAGAAATAATATTTTGTAACTACAGTTCATAGGTACTATTACAGTTTAAAAAGTTATTCTCGTTGGAAGACAATTATTGTGTTTTATGGTTTGTTTCTTAATGATACCGTCGAGCTTTAGTGAGCCCTTTGCGTGGGTCGATATCAATATAATGCCATTCTAAAATATTAAGGGACAATAGAGATGGAGATAACATAAAATTGCTGGATAATGGTATTAAAATATCTGAGTGTGTTATTGGGCTAATGGATTTCTAATATTCTTGTAAATTTTATTTTATTTCTATTTGAATTATAGTCCTTACTTGTATGTGAATACTAAAATCGCTATTTTTATTTATTTTGAATAATATTCACGCAATAATAGTACGTAACCTCGTACGTCTGACATCTGCAGTAATTAATAAGCTGGTTCTTTCGTCTCTACTGTACGTTGTCGAGCCAGTGATTTATGCGGAGCGTCTAGAGAATGTGTAGGAATATCCTACATGGCCCATAAAGCGGTCAGCACATATCAGTGCCCATCGAGACTCAGTTTTGAATGAAAAAAGAGTAGCGACAGACGTCCCGCGATGTAAAGTCCATTTCGTTCGCGTGACTTTCATTATATTTCCTTACAACGAGATAATTAACTATTGCAATATATACTTAATACCTATACAAATAAGATAGTAATTTTAATAAATAATGTGAACTGTGATATAATTGATTTGTCAAACCAATTAAAAATACAATACTAGTGCATATCGACAGAGGTTTTCCTGAATGTAATATTAATTAGATCATTTCTATGCAGTATTGCAATTTTTTATTTTATTTTTACGTGAATTTAAAGGTTAGATAATTTAATGCTGAAAAAAATAACCAAGTGTTGTGAATGGGGTTACAAAAAATGTGTTTTGTTGGTGCAAAATTAATATTGGTGGTGATATTTTGTATTCACGTGAAGCAAGTTACCATGGTCTCGATTTTCGAACGCGAGGAATACTGCGGAGTGTTGTTGAGTCAATATGGTAATAACTTCGTTAATTAGTTGGTATTTACTTGTACTCTTTAAGGAACAAACGTTCATTCTTCTTTACACTTTCTACTGAAGCTGTGGTTACCACAAATGCACTGCTTACGAGAAAGTGCGATTGAAAATGTATAGAGCATTTTAATAACTTATTAAGTAACTTTATTATTTTGTATCTGATCGGTTAATATTAAGAAATATGCTGTGAAGTATAAAGTATAGATACTGATGGGGATTCCAGTTTTATCTGTGTGAGATGAGTCCACAATATATTTAATTTGTCATACTCGGCGAAATAATTAGGTAACCTCAGATATATCTACGCTTCATTTGAGCAGAACTATGTGTACAATTCTATAGTATTCTGTAGCAAAACAAATAGCCTGTCATCACACCTTTTATATACAAGTTCACGCTTTTTTGCTGTGAATCATATTGGTATATGTTACACATTGTTGGCTTTTGCGATTTGTTCTGCAGTGGAATGGTAAATTGAATTTAGTATAAAAATGTCAAAACGGTCTTGTTATATAATTGTTCTGAACCTATCATTTTGTTGTGCCAGATGAAAGACTGTATTTCCATATACCCCAAAAATAAATAATGGAGAGAAACAGAACAAACAAACAAACAACATTTACTTACCTACCAATATCCAGATCTATATACCACAACATTAAATATTTCCTTTTTATAGCATAATTATATTATATATTTATATATTTCCTCCGTACTAAAAGGTCGTCTGAAGCAGCATACATCCACAAGTCGTAACTATTAATAAAATCAAAACGATTGTTGTTTATAAATGTCGTGCAACCGGTAGGTAAAAAAAGAAGTATGTTTTTCTATGGATACCTACTTTATACGCATAATTTTTGTCCTTCAGATCCCCATTTACTGGACACTTTCAAATTGGAAATGTCGCAAGGAATCGAGAGATTTTTTCTGTTGTCCTACTGCCTGGCATGTTGCTGGCCCGGGCTGGGTGCCAAGAGTGACCTACGAGTGGTGAGACAATGGGCAGAACTGGACTTCGTGTTCCCCAGCGAGGAAGCCAAACAAATAGCTATTCAAAAGCGCTACTATGTACCTGGAAATTCCGTGCCCATAGACGTCGATGTGCATCATAGACAAGGTATGTTTAATGAATGAATAGTAAGTAGGTTAGTAAAGATGAATAATAATTATAATGTTCAACTCATCCCGACCCGTAGTCATGTAGTTATAAAATTACGTTCACCCATTCAGGGAGGGGCAGCTATATTATATAAAATTTTGGTGATCTAACTACGATTTTACTTACTGACATATTTTGCACTTTTGAATTACGAATTTTTTTTATTAAATGAATAAAGACAACGTCTCCAGTTCACGTTTTACTCTAAAAGGAAATATATCTATTTACTGTTACTATAATTTATGTTTTGTGTGATGATTTGTCACTCCTCTGGTCAATATATGCTTAGACAAAAGGCTATATGTATTCGCTATTGTGCTTCGATTTCACTGACCGCAAGAAGTAATTTATATTTTATTGTCATGATATTGAAATTTAAGTTTAACAACATTCACAGACCTGTGATTGAACTCAGTCGTCATATCAAACATTAAACGAATAATTTTCTGTATGCAACTTCTCCCATGTAGACTTTACATGGTCTCTCTGTTTAAAATATTATAATAGAAGTTAGCTTATCAGTAATAAAAGAATTTTTCAAATCGGTCCAGTAGTTTCGGAGCCTATTCCATGTTAACAAACATACAGTCAAATATTTCGGCTTTAAAACAATACTAGTAAGTAAGATACATGTGGAAACAGAACCAATATGATGTTAATTTGTAAAGTGACACCCACGTGTATTGACAACCGACCAATGAAGCAACAGTTCAAAGTAAAACAAGCGAATTACGAAATGTCTCCTTTTCAATTAAATTGGCGAGGTTTGGCAACTGAATTTACCTTATGAAGACAAAGCTAGTAAATTATCATTGTTATGTACTGTAATATATAATGTTAATATACATATGAAGTTGGTGTTCTATTATAGTGGACTACCACTTAGTTACACTGTTACAGTAAGTATACATTCACAGATATTTACCAGATGCGAGCGCGATTGAAACTTTGAATCTAGGGTTGAACATATTAGCTTCTGCCAGCGGCTTCGCCCGTAATCCCGTAGGATAGAAAGTAACCTATGTGTTATTCCACACCGTACTCTACCCCTGTTTCAAATTTCATATCGACCCCTTCAGCCGTTTTGACGCGAAAGAATAACAAACACACACACTCACATACATCATCACAAGTTTTCGCATTCATAATATTAGTAGGATAATTATTGACCTGTTTCCGTGCACTGGACATGAATCTCTCCAATAGTATACCACTATGATCTTCAGATCTTCGCAAACAAATCACTGTTAGCCACCTCTCAAATATGTACTGGTAAAAAGTAATCATTTCATTGAATGAATATCCGTACAAAGAACATGTTATGTAAAGGTGATAATTATGGGAATATTTAACACTTGAGTGCCTCGTTGGCCGAGTGGTCGCAAGTGCGACTGACGGGCAAGGGGTCTCGGGTTCGATTCGTGGATCGGGCAAAGTATTACTGGGTTTTAAAATTTCTCAGTAGTAGCACGCAGTCTGGAATTGTGCCCGGTATATGGAAATAGGCTCACCCCCTATTACATGGGACTCATAACATAAATAGTGAAAAGTGGGTGGTACATTGTACAGTGGCATAATGTGCATCTCTGCCTACCCCTTCGGTGATAATTTTTTTTTTGACACAATAATGACTGTTCATTTTTAAACTGTTGTAATAGGTGCTTGTTAACCCGTAACGTTTAGTTTTTGTATGAGTAGGTCATTGGCTGATAAGTAGGTACAGGGGATTTTCGTTTTTTACCAAAATATCGCAAAAAGCATTCGAAAATGTTTGTGTTTATGCGGTTTTACATTGAGTCGTAAATCTTGATGTTATTACCGTGAGTTATAACGATTCTCTTGGCTTTATAAGTTAGATGGTTGATATTAAGGTGTAATACAGCGTAGATTTATACAGTCCTTTTAATATCTCTTGAATTCTAAAGAATATTAGACTGTGGCTGATTTAATCATTTTGCAGTAGATAATATATTTTTATAGCGGTAACTCCAAAAGATCTGCTCGGACACAAGTTGACTTGTTGTTAATTAAACAAAAGACAGTCGTGGTTTAGGTCAATGGCGTATGGACAAAAGTATCTTGTTTGCGATCTTTGTATAACGGCATAGTATTACGCATTGCATTCTGCCTTTATATGTTCTGTGCATTCTGCTAAGAGTTTACTCTAACATTTCACCCATACATAGAAGTTATGGATGCAAACCGACTCAATTCCAAGTTTCGTATTGACATGGATTTCTGAAATCAAAAAATCTGGGAATGGAATTCCACACACTTTACATTTTAATAGATACCTCGTAATAAAGGCTGTTTTCTTCGATAAATAAATGCATAACATAACATAAGATATAAGAAGATAAGAAGGGGTTGGCAGAGGTGCATATTTCGGCATGTAATTGACGTAATGCCACTGTACAATGTAACACCCACTTTTCGCTATTTATGTTATGAGCCCCATGTAATAGGGGGTGAGCCTATTACCATATCCCGGCTGTACTACTGGATTTTTAAAAACCCAGTAATACTTTGCCCGACCCGGGAATCGAACCCGAGATCCCTTGCCCGGCAGTCGCACTTGCGACCACTCGGTCAACGAGGCAGTCAGATAAATGATGTCGAAATTTTCGCCAAAACATAACCATATAAGTTATATTTTTGTTATATGTATTTGGACACTAAATATTAGCTGTATTTAAGATACTGACCGCACCTTGTTAACCTTGAAACGACTGACTTAAGAGGATGAGTTCTTCATTTGTTTTACTTGGATACAAAAGATTATACCGGATTATTTTTTTAGATGCGTTTAGCGTTTACATAGGTATGACCAATTCGATGACGCGCGTTAAGATCAACGTAAATTTTTATTGGTCAGTTAAGACAATAATTAAAATTCTTATTTTAACCTGTGAACACAAATAGATACAAATGAAACCTTTTACTGTACTCGATTCGGTGATGAATTCATGACTCACACGTATTATTTTATTTAGTTTAGCACTTCAGCAGAAGTTTCATATAGTGAAAGGCGTAAATAGGTATGCATAATACCTACACGTATCGTACCTATAAGTATCACTGGTATTACTCGTTGTTCAAATGCTAGCATTTCCAGTGTCTTCAATAGATTATTCTTGATCCTCGTATGATGTATGATAGTATGATATCTAGGCTTTAAAATACATAACTATAATTTCTGCTGAATTAAACTAATAAGATATATTTCTTATTTGCAGGACCATACCCATCCCGTATCTTCGTGACAAACCCTCGGTTTGATGTAGGTCGGCCGATCACATTGGGCACAGTGGATGAATCTGGCAGAATTGTCGCCTACCCAGACTACTCATGGCATGACAACCAGGGATCCAACTGCGCCGGCATGTCCTCGGTCTTCAGAGTTGCTGTAAGTAAGATTTATAAACACATGCTTATGATTACTATCTTAGATCCGATTTTCAGTTCGAGCAAAGCGTTCGTTATTGAATTTTAATTATATTATGCCTCGTGGTGAAAAATGAGTGCATTAGAGAGTTATTTATTTATTTAAGACTTATTACAATAACAAATGTACAAGCGGACTTAATGCCTTGGGAATTATATGTGGGCCTGTCTTAAAAAAAATATGTAACTTATAAGGACTTACATATGATTTTTTACTGATTAAATGAAAACTAGCAGAGCCTTGACTATGTTTACCATTGCATGTTAAGGAATAATCATAGTATCATAGGTTGAGTTCAAATCGTTTGCCATCCCATAAATATCTATTTATAGTATCAAGTCACCTTGCCTCACCATAAATCAGATTATTGCTGTAAAAAAAAACAATATGAAGACACGAACCTTTTATTCCACTAATGTTATATCAAGGACATGGCATATATATATTTTGCATATTGTGTTTTAAATCTATAACAAGCATTTCGCTACTTGCCCTATAAACTTCATGATAAAGATAGGAAGCCTATTTCAGACTACGTAGTATACGTACCTACCAATGTATAGGAAATGTGAAGATATTTATCTATTGATTATTATTTTCGGTATTTGAAAATTAAGCGTTACCACGCCAATATAAACCTTAATTAAGTATGTTAAGTGTTATGTAGTTTTCGTAATTAACACGTGAACTGAAGACCAAGGGAAAACCTTGTATGTTCATACTAGTTCAATATAATCAACAATGGCCTTTGTTAACTTAACGACTCGGTTTATGGGTTTTATTGCATAGGTACAGTCACCTATCGTTCTTTTCTTCTCCTCTTATAATATAGATGGTTGGCAGGCCACAACTGTGCGCTTCTCACGTAGCTTCCTGCCTCGCAGTGTGTGGAATGATCTGTCGTCGGCGGTATTTCCGAACCGATGCGACCTTCAAACCTTCTAGAAAAGAGTGTACTCCTTTTTAACAGGCCGGCAACGCACCTGTGACTCCTCTGGTGTTGCGGGTGTCCATGGGCGGCGCTGATCGCTTATCATCAGGTGATCCGTCTGCACGTTTGCCTCCTAATCCATAAAAAAAATGTGTGGAGATTATGGTAAATGACAGCAGTGGACTGTCACAGGGTCGTGATGTGAATACATCAAGGACTTGGTATGAATATAGCTGGAAACGAAATAACTTGTTTGACTGTACCCGGTAAAGACGTCCTTTGAAGAATATCTATCTAAGAATAACTCAGTATTTCCGTGTCTGACGTAAGTATCATTTAAGTTAGGTAACTTAGGAGAGGATGTACCTGCCTGTGCCTAGGTCTAGAACACGCGATGAATAGAAGAAGTCTAATTATGATTTCTTGTAACAGGATTTATGATTTCACCATTATAATTGAGTAGGTATTGCGATTATGGTCGCTTTTTTCTGCTTCTTGATATCAGGCAATCTTGCGGCGAAGGTCCTTTGAGAATTATTATTGCTATTGATAACGATTACAACTTTGATTCCGGGTTGTTACTGGAGATGTTTTGAAAGAGATGATACTCATTTAAACTGAAAATGTTTGTTTATCTGTAAGCCCTGGATATCTATACATATAATAAAATTGTAGAAAAGTGCTGTCTGTACATTGAAAATAAAAATAAAAAAAATAGCAGGGGCTATTGTTATGTCGATGTCGAACCCAAAAATGTAACTAACTTTTTTTTTGTCTGTTTGTCTGTTTGTCTGTTCACGCTAATCTCAGAAACGGCTTATCCGAGTTGGATGCGGTTTTCACGAATATATTGTGGTATGCTTCAGTTATGCTTTAGTGTTTGTTTCATGTCAATCGGTTCATAAATAAAAAAGTTACGTCAAATTAAAGAATCACGTCGAACACTATCTATCTATCTATCTATACATATAATAAAATTGTAGAAAAGTGCTGTCTGTACATTGAAAATAAAAATAAAAAAAATAGCAGGGGCTATTGTTATGTCGATGTCGAACCCAAAAATGTAACTAACTTTTTTTTTGTCTGTTTGTCTGTTTGTCTGTTCACGCTAATCTCAGAAACGGCTTATCCGAGTTGGATGCGGTTTTCACGAATATATTGTGGTATGCTTCAGTTATGCTTTAGTGTTTGTTTCATGTCAATCGGTTCATAAATAAAAAAGTTACGTCAAATTAAAGAATCACGTCGAACACTATCTATCTATCTATCTATACATATAATAAAATTGTAGAAAAGTGCTGTCTGTACATTGAAAATAAAAATAAAAAAAATAGCAGGGGCTATTGTTATGTCGATGTCGAACCCAAAAATGTAACTAACTTTTTTTTTGTCTGTTTGTCTGTTTGTCTGTTCACGCTAATCTCAGAAACGGCTTATCCGAGTTGGATGCGGTTTTCACGAATATATTGTGGTATGCTTCAGTTATGCTTTAGTGTTTGTTTCATGTCAATCGGTTCATAAATAAAAAAGTTACGTCAAATTAAAGAATCACGTCGAACACTATCTATCTATCTATCTATACATATAATAAAATTGTAGAAAAGTGCTGTCTGTACATTGAAAATAAAAATAAAAAAAATAGCAGGGGCTATTGTTATGTCGATGTCGAACCCAAAAATGTAACTAACTTTTTTTTTGTCTGTTTGTCTGTTTGTCTGTTCACGCTAATCTCAGAAACGGCTTATCCGAGTTGGATGCGGTTTTCACGAATATATTGTGGTATGCTTCAGTTATGCTTTAGTGTTTGTTTCATGTCAATCGGTTCATAAATAAAAAAGTTACGTCAAATTAAAGAATCACGTCGAACTCTATCTATCTATCTATCTATACATATAATAAAATTGTAGAAAAGTGCTGTCTGTACATTGAAAATAAAAATAAAAAAAATAGCAGGGGCTATTGTTATGTCGATGTCGAACCCAAAAATGTAACTAACTTTTTTTTTGTCTGTTTGTCTGTTTGTCTGTTCACGCTAATCTCAGAAACGGCTTATCCGAGTTGGATGCGGTTTTCACGAATATATTGTGGTATGCTTCAGTTATGCTTTAGTGTTTGTTTCATGTCAATCGGTTCATAAATAAAAAAGTTACGTCAAATTAAAGAATCACGTCGAACACTATCTATCTATCTATCTATACATATAATAAAATTGTAGAAAAGTGCTGTCTGTACATTGAAAATAAAAATAAAAAAAATAGCAGGGGCTATTGTTATGTCGATGTCGAACCCAAAAATGTAACTAACTTTTTTTTTGTCTGTTTGTCTGTTTGTCTGTTCACGCTAATCTCAGAAACGGCTTATCCGAGTTGGATGCGGTTTTCACGAATATATTGTGGTATGCTTCAGTTATGCTTTAGTGTTTGTTTCATGTCAATCGGTTCATAAATAAAAAAGTTACGTCAAATTAAAGAATCACGTCGAACTCTATCTATCTATCTATCTATACATATAATAAAATTGTAGAAAAGTGCTGTCTGTACATTGAAAATAAAAATAAAAAAAATAGCAGGGGCTATTGTTATGTCGATGTCGAACCCAAAAATGTAACTAACTTTTTTTTTGTCTGTTTGTCTGTTTGTCTGTTCACGCTAATCTCAGAAACGGCTTATCCGAGTTGGATGCGGTTTTCACGAATATATTGTGGTATGCTTCAGTTATGCTTTAGTGTTTGTTTCATGTCAATCGGTTCATAAATAAAAAAGTTACGTCAAATTAAAGAATCACGTCGAACACTATCTATCTATCTATCTATACATATAATAAAATTGTAGAAAAGTGCTGTCTGTACATTGAAAATAAAAATAAAAAAAATAGCAGGGGCTATTGTTATGTCGATGTCGAACCCAAAAATGTAACTAACTTTTTTTTTGTCTGTTTGTCTGTTTGTCTGTTCACGCTAATCTCAGAAACGGCTTATCCGAGTTGGATGCGGTTTTCACGAATATATTGTGGTATGCTTCAGTTATGCTTTAGTGTTTGTTTCATGTCAATCGGTTCATAAATAAAAAAGTTACGTCAAATTAAAGAATCACGTCGAACTCTATCTATCTATCTATCTATACATATAATAAAATTGTAGAAAAGTGCTGTCTGTACATTGAAAATAAAAATAAAAAAAATAGCAGGGGCTATTGTTATGTCGATGTCGAACCCAAAAATGTAACTAACTTTTTTTTTGTCTGTTTGTCTGTTTGTCTGTTCACGCTAATCTCAGAAACGGCTTATCCGAGTTGGATGCGGTTTTCACGAATATATTGTGGTATGCTTCAGTTATGCTTTAGTGTTTGTTTCATGTCAATCGGTTCATAAATAAAAAAGTTACGTCAAATTAAAGAATCACGTCGAACACTATCTATCTATCTATCTATACATATAATAAAATTGTAGAAAAGTGCTGTCTGTACATTGAAAATAAAAATAAAAAAAATAGCAGGGGCTATTGTTATGTCGATGTCGAACCCAAAAATGTAACTAACTTTTTTTTTGTCTGTTTGTCTGTTTGTCTGTTCACGCTAATCTCAGAAACGGCTTATCCGAGTTGGATGCGGTTTTCACGAATATATTGTGGTATGCTTCAGTTATGCTTTAGTGTTTGTTTCATGTCAATCGGTTCATAAATAAAAAAGTTACGTCAAATTAAAGAATCACGTCGAACACTATCTATCTATCTATCTATACATATAATAAAATTGTAGAAAAGTGCTGTCTGTACATTGAAAATAAAAATAAAAAAAATAGCAGGGGCTATTGTTATGTCGATGTCGAACCCAAAAATGTAACTAACTTTTTTTTTGTCTGTTTGTCTGTTTGTCTGTTCACGCTAATCTCAGAAACGGCTTATCCGAGTTGGATGCGGTTTTCACGAATATATTGTGGTATGCTTCAGTTATGCTTTAGTGTTTGTTTCATGTCAATCGGTTCATAAATAAAAAAGTTACGTCAAATTAAAGAATCACGTCGAACACTATCTATCTATCTATCTATACATATAATAAAATTGTAGAAAAGTGCTGTCTGTACATTGAAAATAAAAATAAAAAAAATAGCAGGGGCTATTGTTATGTCGATGTCGAACCCAAAAATGTAACTAACTTTTTTTTTGTCTGTTTGTCTGTTTGTCTGTTCACGCTAATCTCAGAAACGGCTTATCCGAGTTGGATGCGGTTTTCACGAATATATTGTGGTATGCTTCAGTTATGCTTTAGTGTTTGTTTCATGTCAATCGGTTCATAAATAAAAAAGTTACGTCAAATTAAAGAATCACGTCGAACACTATCTATCTATCTATACATATAATAAAATTGTAGAAAAGTGCTGTCTGTACATTGAAAATAAAAATAAAAAAAATAGCAGGGGCTATTGTTATGTCGATGTCGAACCCAAAAATGTAACTAACTTTTTTTTTGTCTGTTTGTCTGTTTGTCTGTTCACGCTAATCTCAGAAACGGCTTATCCGAGTTGGATGCGGTTTTCACGAATATATTGTGGTATGCTTCAGTTATGCTTTAGTGTTTGTTTCATGTCAATCGGTTCATAAATAAAAAAGTTACGTCAAATTAAAGAATCACGTCGAACACTATCTATCTATCTATACATATAATAAAATTGTAGAAAAGTGCTGTCTGTACATTGAAAATAAAAATAAAAAAAATAGCAGGGGCTATTGTTATGTCGATGTCGAACCCAAAAATGTAACTAACTTTTTTTTTGTCTGTTTGTCTGTTTGTCTGTTCACGCTAATCTCAGAAACGGCTTATCCGAGTTGGATGCGGTTTTCACGAATATATTGTGGTATGCTTCAGTTATGCTTTAGTGTTTGTTTCATGTCAATCGGTTCATAAATAAAAAAGTTACGTCAAATTAAAGAATCACGTCGAACTCTATCTATCTATCTATACATATAATAAAATTGTAGAAAAGTGCTGTCTGTACATTGAAAATAAAAATAAAAAAAATAGCAGGGGCTATTGTTATGTCGATGTCGAACCCAAAAATGTAACTAACTTTTTTTTTGTCTGTTTGTCTGTTTGTCTGTTCACGCTAATCTCAGAAATGGCTTATAAATATATATATATTTAACAGGGTGCGGAAAAGGTGATAGTGGTTTTATTCCTCAGATTCCTCTCATTCCAAAAAATTTTCCGTTTAATTTTAAACGAATTCAGTTTCCAGTGAGCCTATGTTTCGCCATGACAATTAATAAAGCTCAAGGTCAGACTCTAAAAGTTGTGGGTATAGATCTAAGTATCAGCTGTTTTTCGCACGGTCAATTGTATGTGGCTCTGTCCCGTGTTAGCAATCCCAGCAGCCTGTATGCTTTCACCCCCGATGGCCATACGTCTAATATTGTATATAGAGAAGCATTACAGTAAAGTAGGTTTTTTAGCTACCCAAAATGACTGTGATTATGATCCAAATCTAAAATAAAAATAAGTATATATTTAAAAAAAAAAAACGCTGCTCATAGTCACTATTCTACGCGAACGAAGTCGCGGGCACAGCTAGTCTAATAATAAATTATATATTGACACAATTATAGGTACTTTCGATCTAGAGGCAATATTGCTCAATATGGAGTTATGACATATGGCCTATAAACAAACATTTATGAAATATTGTGTAACAATTAAATTCTGTACATACCTAATAATAATTATGTATGTACAAACTAGTTCAAACAGCTTGTATTTTTTTCTTAGAATCAATAGTTCACATGTATTTTCTAGTCAAGTAACATCTTAGAAAAAAGCGGAGGATGTGACGAGTATATTTCCTTTGCCTTTAACAGTCATTAACAAGTAAAAAAAAAAACAAATCAGTGACATCACCAGTGGTTCCGCAGGACAATAGACCCGGATTTAACGGATGCTTAAAATGAATTTGTTTGTGGTCACATTTGGCTAACACGAAACCTCTACAAAAGGTTTAAATTATTTAGGTACTTTACAAGACTTTACCTCTATTTTAATATAAGTACGCACAAAAAAGAAAACTCTTCTTGAACTATGTATCAATGGTATATGAACACAAAAAAGACAAAGTTCAGTAGAATGTTATTGGTGGAAAGGAAAGACCTCTCCAGCCATCCAATATACATCCTATATTGACAGAGAACAGGCAGCACTTGCTTGAAATAGTTTGATCATTAGGAAGGAAATATAGGGTTACTTGGAAAGATTTCCAGAAGTTATGAAAATCGGCAATTTTGTAGATTTTGATGTGATCTTTCCGATGTCCATTTTGCACCTTTCTACCTAGTACATGCGCCGCTCATCGCTATCTTGGAATAATGGCGGCCAAACTCAGTTTTTTTTAAATATCTCTTTTCCTGTGCACTTTTGAGAAAAGCGTTAACTAAAAAATTATACTACTCACATTTTTCTACAATTTATATCTGGATAAGTTTTTTTGTAAAACACATAGGTAGTTTTGGCGTCAGTATATCGCAATGTACATTTTTACGAGGATTCTATAAATAAGAATTTATATATAGCTTTTCACGGGGCTTTGATGATCATATTTAGTAATAAAACTGATAATAATGATATAATTGTATGCTAAAAATGCTATTATCCTTATTTCAGATAGATGAATGCCAGCGACTATGGGTCATGGACGCCGGTAAGATCGAAGACAAGCAAGTGTGCCCTCCTCAGCTGCTCGCCTTCGACCTGGCGACCGACCAACTCATCTACCGCCATGTCGTCAACTCCTCAAACTATGTGGAACAGTCCCTGTATGTCACACCTGTGAGTAATTGTCAATTTAAGATTATAAACATTCGAATATTTCATTTTATACAAACAAGAGTAATACAAATAAGCATCGGTATACATATTCTATTCAAATTCAAAACTATACCTTAATATTAATGAAAAATAGTCTAATATAACTTTAATTTCAGATTGTGGATGTGCGTCCTCGCGGGCCCGGTGATTGTGCAAACACATTCGTGTATGTAGCTGATGTGTCGGCCTTCAGTATTCTAGTGGTCGATGTGATGAGAGACCAGGCCTGGCGCACCACTCACCGACTTTTCTACCCCTTCCCGTCTCGAGGAACTTTCACTATTGATGGTTAGTAATAACACCTATCTGTAAGGTTATACTGGTCAGGAGTTAAAAAGGCGAGATTTTTTCCTAAATCCCATTAATAGATATCTATGCAATTTTAATACAAAAATGTTAATTTGTTTTAGGGGAAAGCTTTGACCTGATGGACGGTATATTAGGTATGGCTCTCTCACCATACCATCCCGGCAGAGATCGCTTCCTCTACTTCCACTCACTCGCTGCCACTACGGAGAACGTAGTGAACACGAAAGTCCTCAGGAACAATTCTTACATGCATGACCCTAGCATTGACCCAGACGCAATTTATGTAAGTAAATGCCTATATACATTTTATGGTTTTATATCTGACCTAAATGTCAAATGAAGTATCGAAGAGAAGGAAAATGTCTCAAAAGATCCTGATTCGGCTAAAATATTAAATGTTATCATTCATTTCAGGTCTTCCCGAAACAACGCTCGTCGCAATCAGCAGCTGAAGCCATAGACCGCAACGGCATTATGTACTTCGGTCTCATGGACCCACCCAGTATTCTGTGTTGGAATACTGCCACCGAATTCTCTTCTCAAAATTTCCACACAGTAGCTGCCGATAAGGAAACCTTACAGTTTGCAAGTGGTGTAAAAATTGTATTAAACGCCAGAGGAGAAGAGGAACTTTGGGTGTTAACATCAAGTTTTCAAAGATTAATGACAGGAACGCTTTCGGCGGACAGAATAAACTTCAGGATACATGCTGAGAAAGTTCCAATAATCTTAGCGAACTCACCGTGCAAAGATTCCCCAAATGGTCGAAAGGGCTATCATGCCAACCTGGTCGACAGGTCCTCGGACGGTCACACGTATCGGCCGAGCAGATATGGCAGTGCCTCGTATCTGTAGAGATTAGTGCCATGTCAGACCGATTGCTCAGGAAATTTGTGAGAAATAATATGCCATAAGACATCTAAGTTACTTCCTTGTCATCAAAAGTTGCTCAGAGTCCTTTCTTATAAATATGGCTACGGTGTAGCCAGGTGAAACCGTAAAGTGGCATCTTAATAAATTTTAAATTTGATAAATTTTCGTAATTTATTTAATAAGTGGCACGTAATCTGTTCTTACTGAAACCTTAGCAGAGACAGTTTTCTTAACATGCTGTTGTGTTTTTATTTTATGTAAAACTATAAAAAGTTTGTAACATGCTTGAACACCAAAGTCATTCCTTAAATTATAATGTCCCGTTAATATGTCATGTTATGTTAGTTACCTATGTTATGTAACCGATTTAATATTAAATAATAAAACGATTTAAATTTTATTCTGATTTTACTTCCATAAAACCCATTTTATGATTGTACATGGTTAGTATAGTTGTGGTTATGTTGACAACTACGAAAGGTTTAATCTGAATGTATACTTTTGTTAAATCAATTTCTGAGGAAAATGATAGACATCTAGGTACATAAAATAAAACCAAAATTATACAGGTTGCAGTGATTCGCGATAGTCATTCAGACTCCTCGCGATGCTGAGATCGACGTGTTTGTTCTCAAATCCGACAATAATACCACCAATGATATCTTCAAAATTTTTTTTGCCAGACTTAATAAACTTTTGCAAGATATCCCTTAGTGCACGCTTGGTACGATTGTCTAGTGGTTCAGCGGTGATCACCTCACATAGAGCCTCATTTCTGTGGGCGACCATCACAGTATGGTACAGGTTTATCATACGACACAAATGTTTCAGACGAACATTCTCAGCTACTACATATGTTACTATATGCTATAGTCATATAAATTACTACTACCAGACATTGTCAATGTGCTTTACATATTGTTTTTTGCACAGGAGATGTAGCAGCAATTTTAAAGCACATGAACTAAAAAATAAAACTGCAGATGTCACCACAAACAGTAATGCACATTTGATGTCCCCAGTCAATTCAATGTTGCACGAGTTTAGAGTGGGTGAAAAATATTTGGAAATCTAACAATATGAGTTATTTACTACACATGTAGCTACATGTGAAATAGAAAACTACATCGTACAATATAAAATAGAAGCATCAAGTATATATTGCATTTATTACATCCAAATAGAACAAATGGAAGAGAAGCACTTATTTCAACTCCATGCGATTATCACTTACTATGCCTTCATGCAAATAGCAATAATTATAAAATAAAATAAGTATGACAAAAGCACTTACTTGCTGCTTTACCGATATCCATAAGTAACTTAGCCTTAACTGGTCGAGGTATAAGACTTGTTGCTATGAAGTCTACGACCTTAGGCCGAGTCAGCACTTTCTGCAAGCCACGTAGACTATTCTCTTTAGCTTCCAACTCATGATTTTGGTGAGCTGCACTATAGGGGGCGCTCACGGAGCAACCATCTAGACCTTTGGAGGGGGGAAACAATTTTATTTAAGAATCATCATTATTATTAAAGTACATGACAGTAAGTTAGTATTTTTTTTAATAGAATATTTATTTTTAGATTTATTATAAATATTTAATTTTATCATTATGCAAGTTCAATATTTTTGATTGTTGTGGCAATCAGTTACTTAAATAATTATTTAGGTATTTTTACTGGAAATTAGAACAATCAGTTTAAATCTTGAGTGAAGAACTGAATTCGTACTTCAATTTTGTGTACTTTATATTTTATTCAGAAGCAACACAGCATACGGGCCACCTAATACTAAGCTGTCCACGAAGTCTATACTTATACATATGTCGCGGAGAACCTAACGGGTAACCGGGGCTCCAGCTCGACGTGCAGGATAAGGAACGGGGTGGTTTTTAGCCAGTAAGAGTCTGACACTCCCTCCCGCCTCACCCAGGCGAGAGCAGTAAATCGATGATTTTCCCCCCTTAAAAAAAATACTTATACATACATATATAGTTGCAAAGCCAGAGGCATCGCGAGTGTTTTGCCAATCGCAAACAAAGTTGACTCCATCTTCAAAAACCCCACACCTACACGTGGTGAGGATCGCGATTCAGTTTATTTCTAAGTACAAGCACCTTTACTCCAATTGCTGCAAGTTTTATACCGACTTTTCTTATCCAGTAGATAATTAGCTAATATATGTATATCACTAAAACTCGTTTAGATACAGTAACTTGTTTGTTGCACATATAAAGATAATACAAGTAATACATAATTTAACTTTTTTGTCGAAGTTGTAGAAGGGTACTTATTGTATGTTACCCATTTCTTAAATTATTAATCCCATTTTAGTATGTCACAAGTCAGAGTAAATGGACCATTTATTTATTTTTTTTCGAACTCTTTTAGCTGCCCACACCTGCTTCGCACGGATGCCACCGCAGTTAGTAAGTAAGCTGATATTTCCACATTTTTCTTTTAAAGAATTGGCGAAACTAAAATTGGAATTTCTTTTAAAACGTATAGATTTATATACAAAGACCTAAATAGACCCTTAAATGATCTGAACAGAAGACCATACTCATTGTAATCATACAACAAGCACATATTGTATAAATTTTATACAATATGTGCTTATAAATTTTATACAATATGTGCTTATAGTTGTCAATTTTAACTAGTTCCCATAATTTTTATCAAATAGACCAGCCATTGTGATACTTTTTGGTCTGAAGTCGAAAGGAATCATATGTGTAGCAGTTTTAGTTTAAAGTCAATTAATGATTACTGCACTAATTAGATAATCAGTTTATTAAGGTATTAGGATCGAAGTAGACTCGTATATAACTCAATATATTTTTAGAATTACACTCATAAGCATTTTCGATTATATTTCTATCAAGTGTGTCTGTAACGTATCTGTTTAATTTATTTAAATTTATTCATTAAGTATGACAATAAGTGATTACTTATTGATACGTTTTTAATTATTGACAGTACATAAGCCGTTGAGTGGTATAAATTATTCATTAGTGCATCGTTTTCCGTGGTGAGTGTTTAATAATTTATCTTTGGAAGTACGGTTGAATGAACTTAAACCTTTCTTTGTGTCTTTCGTTTCGTCCGTTTGGCTCCATCATCAGGTGCACTCCTCATCTTTGACAGCACCATCAGTTTTAACACGCTCGAAAACCACGAAAACGACACCCATAAAAAATACGTAAAAGTAAAAAAAATTGTACAGCCGCCATCTTGGATTTACAATTTGACAGCACCATCAGTTTTACAACCCTCAAAAAGCACGAAAACGACACCCATGACGACTATGTTAATAACCGTGTGCTTTTTTGCCACCGTCGTGGTATAAAAAAAAAAAAACTTTATATTACCGCCATCTTGGAATAACGTTTAATTTTAATACTACAAAACATGATTATGGTCACCCAGACCACCTATTTTAAAATAATTACAATGAAGCTAAACGTGTAGTGCTAATATTGCAGAACGTTTCGCATTGACAATACGGCTAATAGTGCTGCCGCCGTATCCCAAAACGACCCTGCTTTTCTAAATGCCTAGCCGTGATGTAATACAATACAAATTTATATCTCCTCTAAATATTTGGGGACATGTAGGTACCTACCAGACCGTTTAGAAGTAAAGTAAAAATAATGTAACTATCTCTTCGAATTTCATTTTAAAGTTCTTGTTATTGGACACAGTGTTGATATTTGTATTTTGTCATTTAAGTATGTAATTTATTTTCCGCGTGAAAACAATAATTACATATTCATATCAAGACAAATTTAACATTATTTCTATAAAACGAATTTATAAAATATTATCGCACCCATTTTATCAAAACTATAACTAAATCGATTTAATCATATCAAAGTAACTGTGGATAATCGAAACAAACCTTCTTATTTTATTCGGTTTTTTTAAGTACCACATTAAAGCGTATTTAAGTGTAAGTTCAATAAATAATACAATTACTATTTTATTTTTAATTCACATGTATGAGATTTTTCTTTACAATTTAAATAATGGCGGCAATTAGTTATATTAAAAACATAAATTAGGTAAATATTGTAATTTGTAATTGCTTAACGACAGTTATGTGATCTGTTTAGTACAATTTTATGGAGTATTAGACCATTTTAGCAGTGTAGGTATTGTTTTGTTTACAATTTTATTTTCTAGCGTGCATGCACGTAGTGACGCCTAAGTGACACAATTGGTACTACTTGACGGGAAAGTGCATTGCAGTGAACAGTTTATTGCAAATTTTTTGAACGCTTTAAGTGAACTGATACTTCATCTACAAATCATATACTCAAAAACCACAACATCAATATTAAAAGGTCGCATCGCACATCCACAAATCTAGTAACTATTTATAAAATCAAAACGATTGTTGTTTATAAATGTCGTGCAACCGGTAGGTAAAAAAGAAGTACCTATGTTTTTCTATGGATACCTACTTAAACTGTCAAACACAAGCGGTCACCGGGGACCGCAACCTATTGTTCTATAATCTATAATGACAGTACTCAACGAGTTAAAGCGCATAATTTTTGACCTTCAGATCCCCATCTCTTTCAAATTGAAAATGTCGCAAGGAATCGAGAGATTTTTCCTGTTGTCCTACTGCCTGGCATGTTGCTGGCCCGGGCTGGGTGCCAAGAGTGACCTACGAGTGGTGAGACAATGGGCAGAACTGGACTTCGTGTTCCCCAGCGAGGAAGCCAAACAAATAGCTATTCAAAAGCGCTACTATGTACCTGGAAATTCCGTGCCCATAGACGTCGATGCGCATTATAGAAAAGGTATGTTATATGAGTGAATGGTAAGTATACTAACCGGCTGTTCGGGTAACGACTAACCAGTCGTTACCCGAACAGCCGGGCAGCCGTATCATCTATCGGAGATATGCTGCGATTCCCAAGTCACCTGCGAAAATTGAGAATTATGTTTTCCTCTTAAGAAGGAGGTATTTTCTCAATCGTGGACGCGTACCTTATTGATGACATTTGGTTTTTTAGATAACGTCGATCAACTTGGCTAATGATGTAGATTTCAAATAAGATGAATACTATGGACAACGTGTCACGTTTTAATCTAAAAGGAAATATCTATTTATTGTTACCATAAATAATATCTGTGATGACTTGTCACTCCTCTGGTCAATATATACACAAACTAGCGACCTGGCAATATGCATGTATTATACATATAAACCTTCGTTAAGAATCACTCTATCTAAACCGCATCAAAATCCGTTGCGTAGTTTTAAAAATCTAAGCATACATAGGGACAGACAGACGGCAGATAGCGACTTTGTTTTATACTATGTAGTGACGCAGTCGTCGTATCAAACATTAAACGACTACGTTCCTGGAAGCGGCTTCTCTCGTGTGGAACGTTGTTATGTATTAATTTAATATATGTAGTTGGTTTTCTAATATACCTCTAGTGAACTAAAACACTTAGTTACAGTAAGTTTACATTCACAGTTTTACCAGACGCGCGATTGAAAGTTAAACTCTACGTTTAAGCATATAGTTTATAAGATTGTATAATGTAGTATTAACAGTCTGTTTTTGTCCATTACAGGACATGAGTTTCTTCTATTGTTACTACCGTGACTTGTTAAAATTATCTTGGCTTCATACGTTAGCTAGTTTTTTAAGTGTAATACAGCATAGATTTATATAATATTTTTAATGTCTCATAAATTCTAGAGAATATTCTTTAGACTGTGGCCGATTCAATCCTTTTGCAGTAGATAAAATATCTTTACAGCGATAACTCTAAAAGTATAGTACCCATTAGTAACATAAACTGGTATTGCTCATTGTTCAAATGCTTGCAGAACATTTCCAAAGTCTTCAATAGATTTTCGTCATTGTTCCTAAACCTCATCTGTGTGATATCTGGGCTATAAAGTACATAGACTATGATTCCTGCTGAATTAAACTAATAATATGCATTTCTTATTGGCAGGACCAGACCAATCCCGCATCTTTGTGGCAATCCCTCGGTTTAGTGAAGGTCGGCCGATCACATTGGGCACCGTGGATGAATCTGGCAGAATTGTCGCCTACCCAGACTACTCATGGCATGACAACCAGGGTACCAACTGCACCGGCATGTCCTCAGTCTTCAGAGTTGCCGTAAGTAAGACTATAAAATGAATGCGATCTTAGATCCGATTTTAAGTTCCAGTAAGGTGTTCGTTATTAAATAATGAATTTTTCACCATATAGCTATTATGCAGATTTAATTATATTACCTTTTATACCTATGGGATATGCGTTGGCAGTTCCTCGTGTGAGAATTGGCGAATTTTTTATGTGATATGCTTCATACAGCACCGCCGATTACAAAAAAATAAGTAATAGGTAAGCACTTGCATATGATTTTTTACTTACTGATGAGAAGAAAACCAGTAGAAAACCGGCATAATCATAGATTGAGTTTAAATCGTTTGCCGTCCCAGAAATATCTATTTATAGTATCAAGTCACCTTGCATCACCATAAATAAGATTGCTGCTTTAAAAAAATAAGTAACAATTTCAAAGACACGAACCTTTTTTATTTTATACTAGCTGACCCGGCGAACTTCGTACCGCCTTAGCAAAGCTTTGATACACTATTTTATTTTGTATAGTTGACCTATCTTATCTTATTTAAACTGAAATCTATAAGATCCCCCATATAAAAATGAATCCCTATTTCCCTGGTCTCGCCATACCTGAGAAGGAATATACTAATTTAATTAAATAAAAAACAAAATATATATTTTCATGTACATAATACATCTGGTTGGTGGCATTGTTAAAAACGAAAATCCAACTGAAAATAAAAAGGTCTTGTATATTTTCTGTATAACCATGTATACCAAATTGTAATATTATGTAGTCACCAAAAGTAACCAAAAATTGATATGAAGCTGTCAACTTATCGTAATTAACAAACACTTATTAACAAACAAAAAACTTCTTAGACTTTAAAACAAAACAAACTTTATCAAAAACTTATTAAAATTATTGTTACCGCGGTTATGGATGTGATGCCACAGATTAGGTACCACAGATATTTTTTTTAATTGGCTTGGCTGTTCAGCCATTCGCCAATGTCAAGTTAAGGAAACAGATACTACCACAGATTACTAACTAGGTTATGCGAAATTTGTATAGGTTTACTATTCCGTGGTGACTTATTTTCAAAAATTAATAAATTAGTGCAATAGAATTTAATTAAATAACCACATTTCCGAACAAACTTAATTAAGTAACCACGTTTTCGAACAAACGATGCTC